GGAAGTATCCCCCCATAACAGTACCAGGGGCCGCCAGAAGCTCTGGAAAAACCCATGGCAACTCAAGGACTTCCTATTGCCCCTGTTGTACCTTCATAACCCTAAACCCTAAACCCTATTCGGAATTCGTATTATGGTTTGGCTTATTTAGGCCCCTGTTGTACACTCATAATCCTAAACCCTATTCGGAATTAGTATTATGCTCAATCTAAGGTTAGAAGTATGGGCCCCTAATATGGACGCTTAGGGCCTTTCTAGGGACTCTTATAAGGGTACATGTAGGGTATATAGTAGGTGTATACAGGTTTAGGGTTAGGGTTTACTGTGCTACCAACCTGGAAAGCCCATTCCCTCATTCCAGAATCGTGTAGAAGTCTGAATAATGAGAATAGGGATTCATAGGGTTCCTTATATATGGGCTACTATAAGGGTTTCGGGTTTAGGGTCCTTAACAATTAGAATAGGGTTTGGGGTATGTTGTGCTGTATTTCCAATAAGCAAGCCCAGAGCTTTATTCTGATTATTAAAGCCCCTGCAGTATGCCTTGATCTCGAGGGGCCCTCAATAGTCTTTCATTCAGGGCCTACACCCTAAAACCCTAAACCCTAAACCCTAATAAACCTACTAGGGGTCTTGGACCCTCTGGGAAACTCAAATCGCCGCATCGAGCCTGCGGAGCTGCGCTTTCTGGCGACTTGGCAACTTGTCCTTGGCTCTTGCAGAAATTGGGATCAGAGACGGGGTTGCTGAAGAGTCTCCACGGTTTTTGGGTTTTGGGGTTAAGGGTTTACGGTTTAGGGTTCCCTAAACCCTAAACCCTAAAGCCTAAACCCTAAGGTTGCTGAAGAGTTTCCACGGTCTTTGGGTTTTGGGGCTAGGGGTTTAGTCTAGGGCTTCAGGGTTTTAGGGTTTGCAGTGGCGCTTTTTTTTCAACCCTATGCTTCGGGCTTAGGGTTCATGCCGAGGAGCTGCATTATAAACATTCTCCAAAGCCTATTTTGATTACGTAGTCTAAGCTATATTCCATAATTGGCGGCAAATTCGTGTTCACCCTAAACGTCCTCATCACACAAACTTTGTAACTCCTTATCAAACCCTATCAGTACACCTTGAAACTCACCTATACTCTCCGTCCCTCTTAGAAGGTATCCAAAACGGCTCTTTCATAGATCCTTCTCAGGGAAACCATAGGCCAAAAAGGGAGCAACATGAACACGCCACTAAACCCTCAACCCTAAACCCTAAAGAGCCATAGGGGAAGTTCTCTCAATCGGGGCCGGGGCCTCTGTTAGGGCCCCTTTCAGAAGGGTGCCGTACTACATGGGGGACCCAAAGAAGGACCCTGATCTGGAGTTCGTATGCAATAGCTTGGGGATGCTCCGCTACGTCTGCTCCCATCTCGAGTCTGAAGCTTTTGGGGTTTAGGGCTTAGGGTTTAGGCTTAGGGGTTTTGGGGCTTAGGGTTTAGGGGTTTGGAAACAACCCAGTGGCCTCAATCCTTAAGAGCACTGTACAGGGCGTGTACTTGGAGGTCCAGGGGACTAGTAAGTAGGTTATAAGTAGAGTTATAAGTACCCTGACGTGGTAACTCGGCTGCTGAAGCTCCTGCCGCCAGTGTCCTCTTCTAGGATGGCCCGGCTTCGGTGGCAACCGCGTTGTCAATGCCACTCTGGATGAATCTTCCAAAATCCCTGCGAGACTGCGTCGCAGCGAGTGTGCCCCCGAGGTTTGAAAAGACCTGTTCGATCACTGAACTCAGGGCACGGTTCCTGTTGATCGTCGGCTCCTCTTTGAAGAGTTTTTTGAACGGAGTGATTGCTGTTATGAGGGCGTTGCCTCCAAACAGTGGGTTGGTGGAACCTCCGATGTCTGACCGCATGATGGCGGCCTTGGCCGTCGCCGCAGCTGCTGGAGAGCCACCGCCAGTTCATCGCGGAAGTTCATTTGAGCACACCAGCATCGACACCAACCCGAGTTCAGGTAGTGCGCTGGAGATGCTGTTCAAGGTGGCGCCCGGAGGCATGGACGTCGCATACGCAGCGAGGACCTCCGAAGCGCAACGGATGAGTTTTTGTGAACCCTCACCATGTTTTCCATACTTCGGATGGTTGGTCGAGTCCCTTGCCAATCTCGTGCCGTAGAGCGCCACACAAAGCGCCAGCAGAACAAAATCGAAGGCCGACTGGTCTCTCTGCTCGGCCTTTGTCTCAATCCACTGCCGTACGGCGAGCGGATTGAGCTAGATTGTAAGCAAAACGAAACATGAACCATAAAACCTAAACCCTAAACTTAAACCCCTAAACACCAAGAGCGCAACATAAACCATAAAGCCTTCCCTAAGAGCAGTAAAGTTCAGTCGCTTTCGGAGCCCCTGTTTGCGCTCCAATGGGGCCTACAAGCCCGAAGCCCTGAATCCAGGAAGGCCTTATCTAGGCTCCCTCATAGCTAGGTTAGGGTCTTTGGGTACATGGTACTGCAACCAGAATATGAAGGAACATAATAGTTAGATTAAGGTATGGAATTCCAAAGCCCTACACCCTGAACCCCTAACTTCCCTGAACCCTAAACCCTGAACCCCAAAACTTTAAACCTAAACAGGCGAGCCCGAAATCGACGCTTTCCAAAGAACTTGCCCGGTACACAGCAATGTGTAGTGGGATAGCGGAAACAAACTCCGAGAGTGACCTTATAATGTACTTACTTGTGGTAATGTAAGGGCGTTAAACATTAGAATAGGGTTCCTCAGGGTTCCTTACTACACTATTCTTATAGTTTAATAAGCCCCCACAACCCCTGGTGAAAGCATAAACCCTAAACCCTAAACTCAACCCCTAGTCTCTAAGCATTACGGCCCCCACATTACTGCTACAGTAGTGGCCGGGGACCTGCCCGACGCCACGGGTTGCAGGCACGCGTGCAGAGTGCAAGGTAAGATCTCTTTCAAAATTAGGGTTTGGGGTTTAAGGGTTAGGGTTGGGGTTTAGGGTTTAGAGTTTAAGGTCTAAGGCTTAGGGTTTAGGGTTTAAGGTTTAGGGTCTAGAGCTAGGGCATTTAGAGTCTTTATATGAAGGCTGCGCCGTCCTTCATCGACATTGTGTTGCCCTTGGGAACAGCAAAAGCAAGCCCTAGTAGTGTTCGATTTTCAGACCATGGCGGAAAGCCTCATGATCGAAAGCAGATTACATCAGCCCTTTTAACAGCCAGTACATGCTCTAACGTTGAAAACAACTCTTGAAGGAACCCTTTCTTATGTATATACATTCGTATATGTATATAATTAAGCGTACATATGTATATATATATATATATATGGGTAGTTCTCGAAATTAGGGTCCCTTTTTAGGTCCCCAATATAGTACGGCACCCTGATAAAAAGGACCCTCAAAAGGGACCTAATTTAGAAAACTACCCATATATGTATGACTACTGAAGAACACTCCAAGGAATCCCATGAACTCCCCCAGAAAAAACCCTGGAAACCCTAAACCCTAAAACCCTGAACCCTAAACCCTTTATGACTACTGAAGAGCTAGTGTTCAAGGGTCGTTGCCACCGTTGTGGAGGGAGCTGGTTCCCATCTCCTCCATGGCGGAGTTGAAAATGTTCGTCACCTCAGCTCCGAGAATCTTCAAAGGGCTTCTTAGGGTTTAGGGGTTTAGGGTTTTAGGGTTTTAGGGTTTTAGGGTTTAGGGTTTTAGGGTTTTAGGGTTTTAGGGTTTAGGGTTTAGGGTTTCCAGGGGTTTTCTAGGGGAGTTCATGGGTTTCCTTGGGCGTCACAGGGGTTGGTTTGTTCACAGGGTTTCAGGGATCTTTGAATCCGATTTTTTAGTTTCTTTGGGTCTCTGCGGTTTTGCGAAAGGTTTCGGGATTCATGGGGTTTCGCAGCGTTTTGAAGTGTTCTTGTTGTCTCAGGCCGCGGCATTGGAGCGGAAGAGGTTGCGCGTCTCATCCTTCGTTGAGTCTTGAGTGTGAACAGCTTTGCAAGACTTTCATGAGGGTTTGCAGGATTGCATAGGCGCTTCCAGGAGCATTGCACAGGCTGGCAACGCTTGCCTGGGCTCTATGAAGGCCTTGGAAAAGTCTAGGAGGCTTTGAAAAGACTTTGCCGGGCCTTATACGGGGGCTTCCGAAAATAGGGGACCTTCAAATAGTAAAATCCTTATTAGAAGGGCCCCAAAATAAGGTACCCCTTGTTTTTGGAAACTCCCAAATACGAGTCAAGGAGTCTTGAGGGCTCCCTATTATAATTATAATTATAGTATAATAGGCCCCAAAACCCTATTCTACTTGTTAAGGCCCTTACATTACCACCGTGGCGGCACTTAAGGGTTACAGCCTCTGGGGTAAATCAGCCCTCGATCCAAAAGCGTCGAAGGGGGCAGCTTGACGACAGCGGTTCTCCGCGTCTAGCAGTCTAGCACTTGAAGCCAGTAGGTGGGTACTTCTGTAAAATTCGGGTCCCTTTAGTGCATCCCCAAAATCGTACGGCTCTACAAAACAGGCCCTACAAGGGACACTAAGCTTGGAGGACTACCCAAATTGCAGATTTGGGATTCAAGGGTGGAGCCACTGTCTACGCACCACGGTGCTTTTTCGCGTTGCTGGACCGAAAAGAAGGTCTCAGGTTTGTTGGTGCTACAGCTCCTTGTATAACACCCTTCCTTATGGGAGTTTCCGAAATAATGGGTACCTTGTTTTGGGGCCCTTATAATAAGGATCCTATTATTTAGGGTGCTATATTAGGGTCCCCTATTTTCGGAAACCCCCATATCCAAGCTCAATGCTGCAGGAAAAAGTGATGAGCCAGTTAGGCGGAGCACACCTTCCGATCTGCGGTGCAAGGCCACTTCAGATGGGCGTCTGCAAAATATCGCGGATGTTGAAACCGATGTTAACCTCTCTTCTTCAACAACCAGGCCCCAAAAAATCAAACTTATTAGGATAGACCCAATACATAAGGCCCAAGAGCTTAAAGTTCTCCCATTGGCTATCTAAGTAACAAGTTCACCCTCCAGGACCTCCAGCTTGAAACACTTCACCAAACCCGGAGGTCTCTTGCAAGGCAGGAAACTGCCGAGTTGGATCTCCTTCTTCGACTCGTAGGCGAGGTGCCAGGTCGCTCCGTCTTCGGAAGTCCAGATCCGGAAAGATGCCGAGGACGGTACATAGTTTTCGTAAAGGTCGTCGGAAGGATGCCGCGGCCGATATATACCCCTTGGAATGCAACTCCAAGTAGAAGCCCTGAAGATAAACCTAGGCATGGGGAAGCAGCCACTGCACCCACCCTTTGCGGAAAGTGGGGGGGGGGGTGCAACGAAATTCTTTCCATTGTACCGCAGACTATTGGAGGCCATATTCTCGAGAACTGCCGTGGTGTAGGCCTCTCTCTGCTCCAGGCCCAGGATCACTACCACCCAGCCGCCCACGAAAGCGCCCTTACTGCCGGCCCATTGGTAGCGATAGTAGAGTTCACCTTGCACATTAGTCGTTTGCAGACTCTCTGTTTGGATGTTGATCTTCGATTCCAGGCACTCGCCGCCCTTGACTCGCCAGCTCCGGAGAATCTCCTTGATGGCGTCCGCCTTTATGCACAGCAGACCTGAGCCCAGGATCTCTTTCTTCCAAGAGCTCCGGTCGGAGAGCCGGACGCTCTTTCAGGGCCTTTGCGGGTTCTTGGAATATAATTTCGAGTGCCTCTGCTCGCAAGTCATCCATGTGGAACCGGTCTGTGGAAGCGAAGACTTCACAGGCTGTGACAGCTGTGAGGGCCTCCCTAACCAGCCTCATGCACAGGTCATGCAATGGCTTGACCTGGTACTTGTCTGCCAACGCAGCCACCTCCAGCAAAGCGCTCGCAGAGCCCTGGACACTCCCGGTAAACAGGAAACGCAAGAACATGTCGACAGCACCAGCCGAAAAATCATGGATGACGACCTGCGACTTTTGCGACTCTGTGTCATCATCTTTTCAAAGACTGGAGACCACTGGGCAAGCAAAGAAGACCAGACCTTGAACTCCGCGCGTTCTACCGCTGCCTCAGCGTCCTTGGCACTGGCCAGCACGTCCCCGGAGCGCTTGCGCTTCTTGCGTGGTGAAGTCGCAGCAATTTTCCTTCGGACTCTCGAGTACGTCTCCCGACTGCTCTTCCACGATGACTGTGAAGTTGCCGTCCTTGCCATAGCATGCCGCCAAGGTAGTGTGCAGAGAAGGCAGATAGATCCTCACCAACCATGGCTGCCATGGGTGCAGAAGTTGAAGTGCCGGGTTTTAAGGTTTAGGCGCATGAAATGCTGATAACACCCCAACCCTGAACCGCCGCTACGTTCCTCAGTAGAGGGGGCACCCTTCTCAACGTATTTATAGGGAAAGCCTCAAATGGCAAAGGCAACACCATACTGGCATAATAGGGAACCCTAAACCCTAAGTCCTACACTGCTGCTGCTGCTGCTGCTGCTGCTGCTGCTGCTGCTACGACTACTACTACTACTACTACTACTACTACTACTTCTGCTGCTGTTACTACTACTACTACTACTACTACTACTACTACTCCTGCTG